ACCACTGATCTTCACCCTCCTTACCATCTTTTTTACTTCTAAACCCTCTACGGCGGTTATGATTGTTAATTGGTACTGAGTTCTCTAGCCAACCAAACTATGAATAGACCTTCTGATACCATCTTTTTAATTCTTACTACTGCCAGCAGTCTAGGAAAGAGAAGCCACTGGCATTCTTGTAGCAAAGCTCTCAAAGTCGTTTTTTTAAATCACAGGCATGAGTTTCAGCCCGAACTGTTGAGAGTGAAGTCAAGAAACAGTAGATCAGGCAAACTTGCCACCAGTACAAATGCTTTAGTTGCTGCCAAAAGCATGGAAATACTTCAGCCAACAAGATTTAAGGCTCAAAAAGTTGCTCACTCCTTGCACCCTTTGCAGTGGTAGTCGTTGATCCGCGTGTCGTCTCGTGACTCCTTTGCGGTTTCCGTTTTCCTCACTGGAAGCGGCACTACATGATAAGGAAGAATCACGTTTGCTGGTGCTCTGCACCGCAACATTACGCCTTGTTGATTTCAGTCTAAAAATGGAACAAGTAGTCAAACCCCTTTATTTGGAAAAAAAAAAATTCGATTTAGGCTTTTTTAGAAATAGCCGAACCTGTCAGGCTCCAGAACTTCCATAAGCTTGAGTTCCAAGAATTGTAAAATGAAACAACAAATTTCTTAAAAAAAGTAACAGGACAGTCGGGAATAGCACTGTGACAGATTATCTTTGAAGCTCGAGCGTTCGATGCCGCTTGGCTTACTACAGTCCATTCGTTCTTTTCGATAGTAAATTGGTAACTGCTCATGCCAAGAAATCATCCCCGATCAGCCCTTGAAGGAAGGACATGGTTGCTCTTGACGCGCACTACCACTGGGCTACTTCCGAGGACTTCTGCTTCTCACTAAGCGAGAGGAGTTTTGACTTGGTAACAAACTGCCATGCAGAAAATACAGTGGTTACCCACTTTTTCCAAACTGAATTTTTGCCTGTCGGACGAACAAGAGTTTCTGCACTTGTTGAAGCGCATGCTCGGCATCCAGAAGTTGCTGGAAGGTTTGGGTCTGCTGAGAAAGCCGTTGTTGGCTCATCCGGCTCCATATTTTGGTTCATTAACTGAAAATTATTTACTATGAGACTCAGTTTGGAACTGATATAAATAAAGGAAAATTTCATACGTAGATAGATAGTAGATTAATTTGCTGAAAAATGTTTTTATGACTTTCATAAATTTTGCCTTTTTACACACATTAGATATTACTACGTTTGTATTTGTCAATGGTATGCGTGCCGCAGTGAAAAGTAACATCACTCTTATACCAAAGGTCGAAGGTTCTTTTGGCCAGCTTAACAGTCTCAGTATCTCCTTCGTTTCGGAGGTAAAATGGCACTGGAGCGCTTCAGGAACTAAAAACCCTTCGATTTGCTTCTAAACAACTCTTAAAAACGGAGCCATCGTCAACTTTGTCAAAAGATGATTGCTATTGACAGGTACTATCAATTAGGTTAATTTATTGTGCTTCAACCTCTTACGCAGAGCAAATTAGAGAAGGGGTTTATTTTCTGTTAGTATTAAACAAATCTTCAACAATTCCCTAATATTTGATAACTTAGGCTCAGTAGATTAATTATTTCTTAACTCAGTTTCTCGATATTCTTATATAATGTGTACAAAAACTGAGCTAAAATTCAACCACAGCTGAACATTTCAAATTACTTCAGTCGGATTAAAATTGAATAATGGAAACTAACATCATCGAATTGTTGCGAGACAACAAAAATAGCATGTTGCTTCCGTAAGTATGATAAA